GTGGTTTTTGTGTTAATTAAACTTTATATTGTCCTGGAAGATAATTTATTGCATTTCATGGTATTTTCTTCTGTGAATTACATTCTAAATTAAAAAGGTCTTGTATTCTCAATAGCGATATGTTCCATTTTCGAAAACATTTTTTAACTTCGTTTTTCTACCTTTACAATTAATTTCATACTACAGTTTTTCTAAATTTCGATATTGATTTTTTTGGTGCGTGCTATTTATTATTGTTTAGCGACTTTTGTTGTATTTTAACTTGAAATATTCAGCGGATCATAATCTTATTATGGATAACTATAACTTATTATGGATAATTAACCATAATAAGTATCTAACTTTTGTTCGATTGACTGCTTTTTTTCAATTGACTTTTTTATGATTCCGATGTAAAAAAGCAGTTTTTGTTCAAATGGCCAAGAATGGTCAAAAAACCAAACTATACAAGACCAAAAAAGTACAAGATTTTTGACAATTTTTTACGTCAATATTTTTAGGGTGCATGCACTCATATTTCAAACATCTCGAAAATACATTTTTAATCATTTTCTAAAGATTCGCTGTTTAAAAAAATATTTGTTTTATTTTTGACCGCATCTAATAATATAAAAAAACCGCATCTAAAAATTTTGTTATTTGGTTCATTTCTTCCTGTACTTTCGAATACGTGTAAAATACCTTGAATTTTTTGTGAAAAATTAAAATAAAGAATTTTTTTTGAACAGCGGATCTTTAGAAAATGATTAAGATTGTTTTTATGTCACATATCGTCGAGTTGTTACTGCTCTCTCAATTGATAGTAAAAACTTTAAAATCGGTAAAACCACAAAAAGCTTACCATCCTTATTGCGACACCCGGTATACTGTTAAATTGTTTCACAATTTTTCACGCGTCAACGTAACGTTTGTAGATACAAAGAAAAAAATAAGAGATAACCCCTAAAAGTTGAACAGAAAATTTAATTGGCTTCCAATAGGCAGTGGATGGCTGCCAAGTGTTGAGAAAAAACGGAGGCATCAATTATTTTCTAAACCAAATGGAAGTATTAAGGGTGTAGTTTTAAAAATTAATTCGTGTTCCAAATTTTAAATAAATAAACAAAGCGCCTAAAAAGGCAAACAAAATTCTAAAACACGAAATTCGGAAATAATCTTGGATTTCACATTCATTGTTTGGAGACGGTACTTTTTTAACTGCTTTTCTAGGCGCGAAGGAACTTTTAAAAAAAATAATTTTGTCCCTGGAAACAAGACTTTGGTTTAATGAAAATAGATCTCTCTTCTTTTGTGCATTTGGTAGGACTGGAAGAGTGTAGTCTTGTACTACACCTTCCTCAAAATGAATCAAGCAATTCTGTGAAAAATTGCAATTAAATCGCTTATTTGAAAACTGTGTTACCCGAAAGATGTCCACAATTTGCAACTCTACTATTGCGTTACAATTTGATTTCTACGTTCTAATTCATGATCCGTAGTTACAAACTATTTTCCATGATGATTATTTGTT